GGACAGTGCCCAGACACCTTCCTAAGGCAGAGGCCAATTTGACTCCTGAGTCCACCTGTCCAAGAAAAGAGGCTTGAAGGATTTCAGCTCCAGGGGTCTGCCCTTGTGAACAGTTTGTCTAGTTCTCCACCCCTCTGTCCTCATCATCATCCTGGGAGCAGAATTGTGGTCACATGCTGAACATCAGTAACATGCTGTCCCTCCTTTCTCTGTCACACCAAAGAGGCTGAACCCCTACCCCTCTGCTCTGGGGAGCATGAAGCAGTTCTCTTGGGGCTTGTCCTGCCTTGAGTACTAGACCCACAGTGGGTCTCCGATCTACCTACTGTTATTTCAAGACTGTAAAATGCACAGCCCCCAAAATGCCTTTCCCAAGTGCACTATGATACCAGAAATAACTTTTTTGAAACCAGTAGGGAAAAAAATCCTCTGTGTCGGGGGGGGGTGGGGGGTGGGTACATTTATTTATACACAAAAGACTAAACAACTTCAATTGAGGGTTTACTATATGCCCAGTTCTGAGTAGGGTGTGTTTGGGATACATCAGTGAATAAAAAAGCAGAACCTGTCCCTCATGTACAGTTTACATTCTAGCAAAAGAAAACTGGAAGCAAATGATAAATACAATAAATAAGCAAATCACACAGTAAGTTGGAAATAGAGGGGAAAAATAGAGACAGTAAAGAAGGTTCAAGAGAGCCGTTAGTAAGGCTGGGGTGCTACCATTGTAAACAGGGGGGAAGTGCCTTGTGAGCAAAGGCTCCAAGGGAGTATGGGAGAGCCATGTGGCTATTTAGGGGGAAGAGATTTCCAGACAGAGGTTATAGCTGGAGCAAAGGCTCTAAGGCAGGAGCTGGCTGGTCCAGGGCCATGTTCCCATGAGGGCCACTGTGACACACAGATGTCTAAAAGAGATGGGCACTGCAGAGTTCAGGCAGAGTAGTGGCACGCTCCAACATCTTTTAAGAGGATACTCTGGCCAGCTTGGTACTAATTCCACCAGTCTGGGAGGCCAAGGTATCATTTGAGTATCACTTGAGACCAGAGTTTGAGACCAGCCTGGGCAACATAGCAAGACCCCTATCTCTACAAAAACAAAACAAACAGAAAAATTAGCTGGGTCTGGTGGTGCATGCCAATATTCCCAACTACTTGGCTGAGGCAGGAGGATCACTTTGCTTGAGCAAGTTCGAGGCCTCAGTGAGCTCTGATTACACCACTGCACCCCAGCCTGAGAGACAGAGCAAGACTTCCACCTCTGTTGAGAGAGAGAGAGAGACAATCTGGTTGATGTGTTGGTATTGAGAACAGACTTTAGCGAGTCAAGGGAGTAGCAGGAAAATCAACTGGGAGGCTACCGCACACTGCAATAATCCAGGCAGGAGAAGGTGGAAGCAGTGGGGTGATGAGATGTGGATGGAGCCTGGATATGTTTTGAAGGCGGAGCCAAAAGGATTTCCTAACACACAGGCTAGGGACTGCACGAGAATGGGGAGTCCAGGAAGCCCCATGGCATGGGACCTGAGGAAGGGGAAGAATGAAGCCTGAGGGGGGAAAGACCCTGGTAGGGCAGACTTGAGTGCTAGGGGATGGAGAGAAAGGAAACCAGGAATTAATTGGGGGCATCTATTGGATATTGCAGAGGGGAGCCAACCCAGGAATAGGCTGGGATGGAGGAATTTGGACTGGGCTGCGTATGTGGGAGCCCTGGGCATACAGATGGCATCTAATGTCCTGAGGCCAAATAAGGTCCCTGAGGGTCTGAGTGCAAACAGGGGAAAGAAAGAACCAAGAACTGAGCCTTAGAGAAGCCAGTGCCAAGAGGCCTGCGAGGAGAGGAAAGAGCCACAGAGGGGACGGAGAGGGAAGCCCAAAGAGTAGGACGGACCAGAGGGAAGGTGCGGAAAATGGCCAAAGAAGATGCCCCCAAAGCCTTTCCCCAAAACAGAGAGGGTGCATGGGCAGCAAGAGGACAAAATGGGTGCAGTGCCTGGGGCTCAAAGGAGTAGAATGCTGGCCCCATATGCCAGAGGTGGCGGATTCAAACCCAGCCCTGGCCAGAAACTGCAAAAAAAAAAAAGAGGACAAAAGGGAGAGGGAGGGAAGGGCACTGATGACCACATCTCCCACTGTGGCCCCGATCTAGTCCTTGGCGGCTGCTTGGCTCTGTCTAGGTAGGAGGAACTCAGAGGTAGGGACGCTATCAGCTCATCCCACTGGTGTGCCTGCGTCATCAGGAAAATGGCCAGCAGGAGCAGCTGTTATCAGTCACCAAGCAACTCAATTCTCCACGGGGCATCATAACAACTGGGGACAGGGGACAGGACTCTGGGCTTAAAGGCCTCCTTCCAGTCCCTGTTGGACCACTCTCTGGCCATTGGACAAAGCTCTAATTGAAATAGAAGTTTTGAAATATAAAGCTGTAAAAAAACATGTTTGCTGGAACACTGACACTTGGAAGGGTGGGGGCATGTCTTTTTCCACCTTTCCCAGCCCTGTAACCCCTCATCCTTCAACAATCAGTTCAGCCAGCACCCCTTCCTGGGAAGTCTTCCCTGACTCTTTAGTGTCATCAGTAGTCCTCAGCAATAGGGAGAGAAATCAGCAATGTCTGGAGGTTGTTTTGGTTGTCAGAGCTTAGCAGGGGTGCATCTAGTGGATGGAGGGCAAGGGTGCTGCTGAACACCCTGCAATCCACAGAAGAGCCCTCAGTAATTGTCCAGGCCAGAATGTCAATCATGCAGTGGTTGAGAATGTCAGCTCCAGGTAGAGTAGGGGCAAATCACATCTTTCCCAGTCGGTGGCCATTGCCCCTTTCCTGTCATCTACTAAGACAGAACTGAGCATGCCCACTACTCAGCTCCCTGCCTCCCTTCAGCTAGTCATACCCTGTGACCCAGTTGGGCCAATGAGATGTAAAGGAATGTTCAATGAGAGCTTCTGGGGAAGATTTTCCTCCTTGATAAAATGAACAGGTATAGGAGGAGGCCCCACCCCTCCACTCTGATTTTGTTTTGTTTTGTTTTGAGACAGAGTCTCACTATGTTGTCCTCAGTAGAGTACCGTGGCGCCACAGCTCACAGCAACCTCAAACTCTTGGGCTTAAGAGATTCTCTTGCCTCAGCCTCCCACGTAGCTGGGACTTCAGGCACCTACCACAACACCCAGCTATTTTTATTTTTATTTTTGTTGCAGTTGTCATTGTTACTTTAGCTGGCCCAGGCCAGGTTCCAAGCCACCAGCCTCAGTGCATGTGGCCTGCACGGTAACCACTGTGCTATGGGCTCCGAGCCTCCACTCTGATACTGGACACAAGGATATGATGCTTAGCTACTTGGGTTGACTACCTTGTCTTGGCTACTTGGGTTGACTCCTATTACTTGCAGCCAAAAGCACCCTAGGAAGGATGGGGCCACCCTCCCTGTGCTCCCGATGTTTGTTTTCTGGTGACGTGTCCTCCTATTCTTCTGAATTGTGAGCCCCTGAGTCCAGGGCTGTGGTTCCCATTGAGGATCCCCACACTTAGCACTTCACCTGGGACAGAGTAGAGAGAATCCACTGTGGCTCAGAGAGAATCCATCGAATACATTTCAAGGACAGAAGAAAGAATGCTTCCTGCTCTCAGTGGCCCAGCTGTGGGATTTCCTGAGAGCCACTCCAGCAGATGCCACCCAGTAGGCTGGCAGAGCTGAGTGTAAACACATCTGGGGTGAATGCCCTCGGATGCTGGAGACAGCAGAAGTGCTGGCCCAGAGGCCAAGGCTCCGGCAACACTGTGCTGAAGACCAGACTGTGCAGGGGGAGGTTGGCAGCATGCTGCAAATGTAGATATTTCTTCCAGAAAAGCCCTCCCTGATGCCTAGCCCACACATAAACAGACTTTTCCAGCTGCCCCAGACCCCTACTTTACAGGGCTGGGGAAACAGTAAGCCTTCTGGAACCAGCTGGACCAGTGGGCTTTCCCATGTAGGAAGGACCCACCTGAAGCCTCAGGAGTGAGACGATTGACAGGACAGGGCTTAGGGTGAGCAGGGCCTCCTCCCTCTTCTCCCAAGCTTCTTCTCTGAACCCAAGGCCAACGATGACCGACTCCTTTCTAGCCGAGGCTGGATGCAGGGCTCCATTTGAGTCTATTCCCAGGACCTTCAGAAGTTTGTCAAGGGAGGCTTCAGGTGACAATGAGGTAGTACGGCATAATGGTTGGGGGCACCAGGCTGGCATGTGTTGGAATCCCAACTCAATCGCCTTCCTTCTTCCTCCCCTCATGCAGGTCCTATTATGTGCAGGCACCGTGTGGTACCAGAGTTACAGTCAGCCACTGAATTCAGGTGACAGCCCTACTCGGTGACGTGGAGGTCAGAGTGCTAATTGGGGAGGCACACGCTAACACATAGTCACACAAGCCTTCCCACTGTAATGACTTCCACAAAGGAAGGGCACAGCACAGGGGACAACGGGGCAGCTGTATGGACTGGAACCAGTCGCTCAGTTAATCTGAATCCACCCACCTCCTGTGACATTCATGAGAATAAATGGAGTAATACACGTAGGCCAGGCTCTAAGTGCTCTCTGATGAGAGGGCTATGGGCACCATGGTCTGCAAAGCAGGTGACAGGCTTGGAAGCCCTGACGGAGTCTTCAGAGGAGTGCCTCAGCACTGGCTGTGGCCTGGGGGCCTATGGGGTAAAGTGGCAGCCCCCCTGGCACTTCTCTGCTATTGGAGGGACAGCCTCTAGACTCCATGCAGAGCCTGCCTGCTCTCCCTGACCTTGGTCCAGCTACTGCAGTCAGAGTCAAACAGATCTCCCAAATCAGGATATGCTGGACCCTGACCCAGGCCCCTGCCCTTTCTCTGGCCCACGGTACCAAATAGCCCAAGGGCAGTTACCCTGCCGTGGGTGGCTGTGGCTTTATGGAGACCAAGGTCCAGCTGGCAAGGCGCCCCTGAACCACCACCTCTCCTTGGCTCCCTCCCCTCAGGAAAAATGGTTTTAATGAGTAACAGAAGGCCCCCCGCCAAGAGCTCTGGGGTTGGCACAAGATGGGCAGCCGAGAAGAGCCGCAGGACCCAGCTGCTACCACCATCCCTCCCCTCCCAGGTCAGCTGGGCTGGGTGGTAGTGCTCAGGTTGGGGAGGGCCCAGGCCTCCCTGCTGCCTCTGTTTCCCTGGCAAGAAGATCCGGGTAGACACTTCCACTGGGGTCGGAGTTATAAGTGAAGGGGGGCACAACAGATGTCTGCTTGGACTTGTTGTCCAGCCAAGGTCTCAAAGGCAGCTACTGCCCAAGAGAGATGGGGCAAGGTCAGGGAGGGCCAGGAACAGTGTCATGGGAGTTTAACCTGTGCAGTTACACAAGGCCCCACATTTAGGAGGACTTGGTGCCTGGTTTCATATTTTGTTGTCACAGTCTCCAAATACTTAATAATTATTTTTAACAAATGGCCTTACAAATTATGTCATTGGTCCTATCTGGGGGTGAGGCTATTTATACACTCCTTGTCTGGGAAACAGAATCAGAGGGTGTTGGAACAGCCAACCCACCCTCCTCCCACAGCCCAGGCCTGAATCCTCCCCACCACTGTTCTGAGGAAGATGAAGTACCTGGCAAGGCCTCCCCTCAGCGCAGCCAGCGCGGAATGTGTGCTTCCGGGAGAGAAGGGACAGAAGTGACCTCAACAGCCAGCAGGGAAGGTCAGGAAGAAGGGGGCCCCTTGGCTGCCTCTTCCCCCTGGGGAGAAGATGGGGGGCGGGCAGAAGAGCTCCTCCAGCCAGAACTGGCCCTCCAAGAGGAGGCTGCAGCTCTGGCAGGCACAGAGAGGGGTGTAGGGAGGAGGGCAGTGGGGGTGAGGCCCGGAGCCAAGAGAAAAGCTGTTCAGGGCCTCAGCCAGTCGGGCCAGCCCAGGCCTGCTTTAGCCTCTGGTCTTCAGCCAGTAGGTAATTCAGAAATTCCTCCAGAAGGCTGCTGGGGCCTGCTTGCCATCCTGCCTGTCCTCCCAGAGCTTGAGCCAGCCTGTAGGGGCCCAGCGGACTGCTACGTTCCACCTCCCAGCTGCCAGCAGCCTGCTCCTGTAGGCTTCTGGTCGCTCACAGCTGGTCCAGGGTCAGGCGGTGCCGGGAAACGAGCTGGCAGAAGGGGAGCGGGCACTGGGTCCCAGGCCAGTGCTGGGAAGGATCCAGGCTCCAAAGAAGAGAGTGGAAAGAGGACCCCACCCTGGTGGGGGGTGAGGAGAGTGGAGACTTAGCCTGGCCTGGCCCCTGGCCCAGAGTCTGTCCTCCCTGGCAACGATGGCCCAGGCTAGAGCCAGGGGCCCCTGGCAGGGCCTACTGGACACCCTCATCTTCTGTCCCTGAGGCGGAGAATTGAGCCAGGGAGACTTCTTCCTCTGGCTGTCCTAGGATCTAGGCTGCTAATCCCTCTCTATTAAAACGCAAATGTTCTGGGGAGGCTGGGAGAGGACATCAGAATCTCATTCCTCACTTCCTAGGGAGGTTTGTGGCCTGCCAACCCCAGAAAGGCCCAGAGAAAAGAGTGGGGAAAGGATTCAGGAAAACTGGCGGCAGGTGACAATGTAACAACCCAAAGGGCCCTCCCTGGACAGGGCAACAGTGGCCTCGACAGTGCAGAGCTCCAGGTTGGATGCCAGTTTTGTTGTTCACTGGCTCGGCAACCTTCTCACCTCTAAGGGGGAAACTCAGTCCCTTCCCCCAAGTGACTGCCAACACAGGCTCTGCTAAGAACCATGAAGGGACAGGCACTGGACTGTCAGCCAACTGACATGGCCCCTTCCCTGAGCAGTGGCTCTGCACACCCCCAGCACAATCTGGGTCCCTCGTAGTCCCATTTGCCATTGGCCACTCTAAGCCTGTTCCTGAGAGTTGGGATGGTTTGGGGCAAGAAGGGAACTAGAAACACGTCCCTGGGTAGCTCCCCACAGGGTGTTCTGCCCTGGGCATCCAGTCTAGCTGCCACAGGCACAGCGACCCTCAGAGGCCCGATCCAGATGCCTTCTGCTGTTGACTCACCTTCAGGTCTGCCAAATCTGCAAACACTGCCGAGCACAAATCTGCATTCATCATTTCCTTTAAGAGCAAGAGCCCCAGAGCGCTTGGGCCCCTGCATCTACAGAGCCTGTGGAGGCTGAGAACAAAGCCCCTCAGCTAGCTCTGGAGGATACCTCTGCCAGCTGCCCGCCTGACCAGACGAGCCTCCACTAGCATGGCCCTGGCCTGGCCCTATGTCCCCTCCATGCTACCCATACTGCCTGCTTCTCAGAAACCCCAGTTCTCTCTACTGACTCAGTTCCCCCCTAATTTTGCTCCTTTCCTGTTTTGAGCACTGCTCATGCCTGAGTTCTCACACTTTCCCCAGACTTCCAGCCATGAGCACTACACAGCTGGCTACACAGGGATCCACTGACCACTGCCACCTGTCACTTGGTCTCCCTCACACTGGCCTCTGGTCACTAATCCAGGACCTCTGCAGAGTGCCCCCAAAAGCCTCATCAAGAACTTATGGAAATTTCAGGGCACCGCTCATGTGCTCACAGACCAGGCAGTTTCTCACCTGTGGGTTCACTCTTCTCCCGCTCGTTCCTGTGCTCACAGACCAGGCAGTTTCTCACCTGTGGGTTCACTCTTCTCCCGCTCGTTCCTACGGACGCACGGTACCTACAATGCTCATGGCCCCACACTATTGCAGGAGGAGATTATCTCTCTCCTCCTGTGGGTGTCACTGTGTTAGAGGGTCCCAGAGCAGGATGGCGTGTGCCCCTGTGACAGCATTTAATAAGAGGGCTCTTCCTCTCATTTAATTTACCCCATTCCCCTCACGTCTGCCTCTGTTTTCCACAGGGCTCAAATATGAGCTGCAGGGAGCCAAACAGTCTTACCCAGAATCACCCTTGCCTCTCATGCCTCAAGGACACCCCGGGTGAGGGGCCTAAACCTCTCCCTGGCGGTGAGTGGCATCCCACACACTCACACACTGGCTGCTCCTGCACAGAGGCCCGTCCTTCCTGTACACAGACACCCTCTACACACCCAGCAGCCCTCGCCCCTTCCCACCTGGCTCCCCCTCCAGCCGCCCCACTGCTGGGGTCCTTGATTCTTCTGCATCTATCACTGAAGTTCCATCTTCATTCCCCACTCCCACAACACGACCAGATCTGGAAATCCACATGACAGATTCCAGCCCTCTATGCCCATCCTTCTGTCTGTCCTATAGAATTTCCGAATACAGCAGCTTTTAGAAATAAAAAGAGCACGCATTCCCGTGCAGCAGGCAAGGTTAACCATCAGGTTGGCAAATCTCTCCCTGACTGGTGGTGAACTCAACTGCAGGCCTGCCCAGAGATGGGGGATGGTCTCTTTCTTGTCTACTGACTCCTCCGCCCCACTCCCTTTGGGGAAAGAGAACGTGCTACTACCAAGCCTGGCTGTGGTGTGACTCTCCCTGCTCTGACAGGGGACTTTTTGGAAGAGAAAGTGCCTCTCTCATCTTGCAGTGGAGCTGGAACCTTGTGGCATCCAGAGGATGGAGACCATCACCCCTCAACAGAACAAGTTTAGGAAACATCACATTGACGGGTGTTTTATGCAAAGCACCACAGTGATGGTACCCAGGGAACAAAAAAAAATCTGACATAAAGTCCCTATCCTTAAAGCAGTCCCTATCCGCAACCTTCCTAATGTCACAGCCCTTTAATACAGTTCCTCATGTTGGGGTGACCCCCAACCATAAAATTATTTTCATTGCTACTTCCACTACAACATGAGGAATTGTATTAAAGGGTCGTGGCATTAGAAAGGTTGAGAACCCAGCTAGAGCATCTGGGGCAGCTCCAAGCTGAGAAGCAGGAGGCAAAAGGTCCTGAGACTACCAGGGCTAGAAAACGCCAAATTGTAGCTGCAGAGAAAAATGCCTCTATCTGGATGTCCTTGGGGAGAGGGCTGGAAAGCTTATTAGAGCATATATTCGCTTTAACCAAAGTTCTCATGCTTCGGTGTGTGTAAGAATTTCAAAGGGGCCAGGCGCAATGAGTCACACCTGTAATCCCAGCACTCTAGGAGGCTGAGGTGGGAGGATCCCTTGCTCAGGAGTTTGAGACCAGCATGAGCAAAAGTGAGACCCTGTCCTCTACTAAAAATAGAAAAACTAGCCGAGCATTGTGGCTGTCATCCCAGCTACTCAGAAGGCCAAGGCAGGAGGATCGCTTGAGCCTAGGAGTTTGAGGTTGACAGAACAAGACTCCCCCCTCCCCAAAAAAAGAGAGAGAGAGAGAGAAGAATTTCAAGTGGGGGTATCTTGATAAAAGTGCAGAAATATAGCTCGGCACCATAGCACAGTGGTTACAGTGCTGGCCACATGCACTGAGGCTGGAGGGTTCAAACCCACCCTGGGCCAGCTAAACAACAATGACAACTGCAACAAAAAAATAGCCAGGTGTTGTGGCAGGCACCTATAGTCCCCGCTACTTGGGAGGCTGAGGCAGGAGAATCTCTTAAGCCCAAGAGTTTGAGGTTGCTGTGAGCTGTGACGCCACAGCACTCTACTGAGGGTGACATAATGAGACTCTGTGTCAAAAAAAAAAAAAAAGGTGCAGAAATATGCCCTTCCCCTGCACAGGAGTCTGCATTTTATAGCACCGCAAGTGATGCAGCTGATCCATAGACCACATGTCTGTGGCCTTTGAGTGGGGGGAAGCCCCCACACCCAGGGGGAGTCATCCGTGGCAATCTCTTTCTCTTGGGGTGGACACAGAGCTGCTACCCTGATGTGACAGAGACATAACTATGCCAATTACTCCCAGGGGGAGCACATCACCTTGTAGTCCTGCAGGACTGGGCGCTCCTGATGGGAAGGTGATGGCTGTGATGGCAAAAGGATAGGCCTTGCCCTAAACTCAGGGAACAGGGCAAGAGCCAAGGGTTCCCTTGCTGCCAGCACCCCAGAGTGCCCTGCTTATTCCCCAGGGTGGGGAAGAGGTGGCCTGTTCCCTCTCAAACTTATTCCCTTCTAACTATGACAAATGCCAGCACCACAAAGCTGGCCGTGTCTACATCTGTGCTTGCACACTTGCTCGGAGCGTGGAGTTCTGGTGCTCTGTGGGGGCTCCCCAACTGCAGTCTGGCAGAGCTGAGCCTAGGACTGAGTTGG